ACACAAGTATCTCTTGAAGCCTCTATAAGCTAGTTACAATACTCTCTACCTTCTCAAACCACAACACAAACAGGAAGATTAAGGCTGCTGAACCCCTGACTGATGAATTCAATCTGATTCTACTTTGGCCTAAGATATTATTTTACTAATTACTTGGTTTTTTAATTCTTGGTTTATAATTTTTCAAAAATGCTATCTGTATATTGAATGGTGGGCTGGGGAGACAGCTTGGCAGCCTAAACACCTGCCTAGCAAGCATAAGGTCCAGAGTTCAATCCCTGGTACTGCATGCTGTGCTGGCAAAAAAAAAAAAAAAAAAAAAAAAAATTGGGCCTGGTGGCTCGTCCTGTAATCCTAGCCCTGGGAAGGCTGAGACAGGAGGATCATTATGAGTTCAAACTGTGTTGCAAGACCCTATATCAATACATAACACATACATAAATGTTAACTGAATAATCTTCAGTAAATAGAAACAAACCACTATAGCCTCCTACTTGCCCTAGAATTCAAAGCCCGTATCTCGGAGATTTCATTTTTTCATTCTCCCAAGTCCACATGAGTTCATTAAGTAACCTTTTCCTGAGTACCTGTTTTAGCATTACACTGAACAGTGAAAAAGTAATTTTACATGGGTTCAGTCTTCCAAAAGCTTAAAACCTTATTATAGAAATTACATAAGAGAAAGACAAACACAAGAAAGTATAAAATTGGACAGTGACTGCAAGCAGACGCAGGGGCCAAGGGTTCAATCCCCGGGCATGCCATTATGGCCCCGACCCTGGGGCACACTGCGACAGCAACTGAGACAGCAACTGAGACTGGGTGTGGTGGCGCATGCCTGTAATCCCAGCACTTGGGAGGCTGTAAACATAAGAATCACCATGAGTCTCATCTAGCAGTGAGACCCTGAACACCCTGTAGACCCCTCCCTAAAATATAGGAAACAAAAAAAAGAAAAAGAAAAAATTTTCTCATTGCTATTTCTCTCTCATTAAAACTAATAAAAAAATTGGACGGTGAAGTCTGAAATGGGCTTCAGCAAAGGGAGAGCAAAGATGTTGAAGGAAGTACACATTAGGTTTAAACATATGGGAAGGGGATATCAAGAACACAATGAGCAGTATCCTATGGATGAGATTGGCCTGTCCTGAGCAGAACAGAATATAAACAGAACCTGAAAAAATGCAACAGCAGTAGTCACAGAGAAGGACAAATTGAATAAACCATCACAGTAATTACTTTATTGCCTACTACAAACTGGAATCACTCAGGAAGCTTTAAAAATACTCGTATTAAGACCTTAACCAGAGATTTTTATTTAATTAGTCCAACTTACTACCCTTTTAATGTTCCTTGGGGTCACTAACATGCATGACTGCCTTAAAAGAACCACCAGTGGGACTTGGTAATTGGCAACAAAAAGCAGTAAGGAAGATTCAGATTATGATAAGTTCTCTATAAAAAAGTGTTATTAATGGCAGAATCCAGAGAATGGAAAAAATAAAGATAGGTTCACATTTCTGGATTTTATCCTTTGGTCTATAGGAGGATTGCTGTAAATTCAATGCCAGTTTGGGCTACAATGTTAGTTCAAGGCTAGTCTGAACTACATAATGAAACCCTGTCTCAAAAAAATATCAAAACACAATGCTGGGAGATAGTTCAGCAGTCTATGATCCTGCTTGGAAAGCACTGAGACCAGGGTTCAATCTCCGGTACCACATACCGACCTGGGAAATGGTGCCAGCCATTGAAACCGGGCATGGTGTTGTATGCCTGTAATCCCACCACTGGGGAGGCTAAGACATGAGGATCACTATGAGTCTGAGCTGCATAGCAAAATCATGTACCAAATAAATAAATAATTAAATTTTTTTAAAAAATCAAAAGAACAGCAAAACCAATAAACAAGTATTAATTTATGTATGTCATATTACAATTACTTATCTAGTATTTTTCATCAGGCACAACCCAAAAGTAAACATTTTTTTAAAATCAAAAGAATATAAAATAAAACTTTTAACAAGCTTCTGATTTTCCAGCTGAAAATAATCTCATCCTTTCTGCTTGCATGGCACTACATACCCTAGAGATCCTGTCTACTCTAAATAGGAGGGATAGGAGCTACATTCCTCCCTTTTACACGGCACCCAAAACACTGCTTTTTTGCAGGTAACACTCTCCATATGAACTGAGTGGCAGGCAGAGATGAAAGTTAAAACCCTGTCACTTCAGGTTGTAAATGTTTCTAAATGCTTGGTAAGTGAAGCTTATAGCTGATTCTGCTTTTTTGGACCCTTCCAACATTCTTCAAGTGTGCTCCAGTGTCTTCCATCTTTATCCTCTTTCCACTACCTCTTGACAAGACTGAGACTGCTCATTTCATGAGTCAATAGAAAGGAAACTACAGACCATTTCAGGGGAAACATTTCCAGAGTTCAACTCCTAAAATGTACTTCTGATTTCTCCCCAAAATTTCTTTCAAGACCTCGACCACATACTCAGCCTTCAGGCTAACATCAAGCATTATTCTAGTTCTCATGTGAAGAGTGCTGTATAATTTTTTTTTTCTTTTTTTTTGGGGGGTGGGGTAAGTGCTACATTTTGGTCTCCAAGTTTTTGATATACTAAATGAGTATTTCACAGCTTTTCCTACATCCATATCATGAACACAAGGTACTTTTCCTACAGACCATTATTTTTCTACTTGAACAGAAAGTTTTTCCTACATCCATACCATGAACAGAAAGTACTACTATTTGTACAATACTCTAGGAAGAAACCAGAAAGCTATTCAAGTCAAGGTTGGCTGCCTAGACTGTCTGAGCAACCCTAAGACTTTTTTTTTTTCTTTCTTTCTTTTTTTTTTTTTTTTTTTTGGTGGACTGGGGATTAAACTCAGGCCCTTGTGTTTGCCAGGAAAGCGCTTAATCCACTGATCCATCTCCCCAACCCCAATCCTAAGACTTGACTTAAGAGTATCCTAAGATACATTAGAAGTTGTGCAGATTCATCACATCCTTTTCCCCATCAAAAGCTGTTTCCAAAGGGCTTTCTTAATCACAACTGCACTGGACAATTTTGTGTTGCTTCCATCACTACACATAACAGCAGATCACTGATCCACATAAATACTCTGGATTTTTGTTCCCTTGCTTATGACTCTCACATTGTGAGCCATTCTTCAACTTATCCATCTTATTGTATTTTCTAATTCTCAGGAATAGTTGGGGATTTTTTAAAGTGTCTCATATTTCCATTGTAATGTATCAATGACACTTTCCATTTGAATTAACTGAACTAGGGCCAGGGAGATAGCTCAACAGAATAAGTGCCTGCCTGGCAAGCTCAAAGTCCTGAATTCAATTCCTGGTACGGGAAAAAGAAAATTTTTTTGGTGAATTAACTAAACCTCTAATCACATTTTTCTTAGGGAGACTGCATGCTTACTAATTTCACAGTATGGGAGAAACAAGATAAATACAGGAAGACATTCATCTGCACCCTAGGAATTTTATCATGTTGCACCATTATAAGCACATAGGCAAGAAAAACAGGAAGAAAATGTTCAAATGGGAAGTTTAACAATGGAGGGAGAATGGCAAAGGAAAGAAGAAAAGAGACTAGAAGGGGAAAAAATAAGAAACAAAGCTTTTGGACAAGACAGGTTGAAGGGAAGGGATTAGGGAAAAAAGAAAAATCAAAATGTATAAACCAGTTATGGTGGTGCATGCCCATAATCCCAGCACTTGAGAGACAAAGATAGGACATATGCGTTCAAGAGCACCTTGAGCTACATAAGCAAGTTTAAGGCCAACCTGTAGTACAGAGTAAGACCTTGTCTCCAGAAAAAACAAACAAAAAAATGCACCACCCTCAGCTACATTGTGAATTCAAGACCAAACTACATAGAGATACTATCTACAAAACAAAAAAGATCCTGTCTCAAAAAGATAAATACTTTGTGTTGTATATTTGTCACTTGTACCTACACATAACATGAAAGAAAGTATAAGGGAAGGAAAATGAGAACATATGACGATACAGAGAAATATTAACAACTCAGGTTTTCTATGGCAAAGAAAATCCCCAAATTTCATAGCATTGGTTTTTAACCATAAACTTTAAAACTTCAAAAATATTACTGAGCTTGCCCCATACACTGCAATTATCCACTCTTTCAATTTTGTATATGTTTGATGAAATTTCATAAAAGAAACTTTTATAAGGAAAATTTCATAAATGTTAAAAGAGATGGATTTTTAGCATTTTCTTCTGCCCAAATTATACAGATAACTATCTATGATAACAAAATCTTAGCAGGTCATTAACCTAGAGATGCACGCTAAAATACATGAAGATAAAGCATCAAAATATTTTGTTTTAAAAGAAAAAAGATTATATTGGGATATAAACTTATATACATCCATGCACCAAAAAAGCCAAGAAGTCAAGGACATATGCTTGATATTAAGTGTTAAAAGGGCCAGCAAGATAGCTCAGTGGACTAAGCACCTGCTTAGCAAGTGCAGGGACCAGGGTTCAATCTCTGGCACTGCCTGCCACACCAGCCCAGCTAAGTCATCAACCGAGTCAGGGCGAGATGGCACACGCCTGTAATCCCAGCACTGGTGAGGCTAAAAACAGGAGGATAACTATGAGTCCAAGCTGTGTAGTGAGACCCTGCACAAATTATGTTAAGAAAAAAAAGTTAAAATATCTAAGGTCCAGTATGTTATAGAACACTTCTCAGACATAAATATCTTGCTTCAAAGAAAAATTTGAGAACATGCCTGTAATTTCTGCACTGGGGACAACTAAAACAAGGGGACTACAAGCTGGAACCCAGGATGGGCAACTCAACAAGACCAAGTCTTGAAAATTAAAATGAAAAAGTAATGAGGTTAGAGGAGAGAACAGCCTAGTGCTGAGGCCCTGTATTCAATCTTAAACATTACCAAAACAACAAAGGAACAAAAAAGTGAAGTTCTGACACTCACATTGCCCATATACTCTGAGAGTAGGTCCTGCAGAGCTTGGCGGACAGCATTACACTCTGCCACAATTCGCTCACGTCGGTCATCACGTGTGCAGGACGAGTCAGCCATGAGTGCAGCACCACTAATGATACTTTCCAGGCGCTCCTCCAGGGAAGGTCTAAAGCGCTCCTCACTGAAGCTCAAAGGGTCCACAATGATTTGTTTCTGCAATAGAAGTTTTACCAAATGTTAACACTCATCTCTGTTCCTTCTGTTTCAACAAGGCAAAAAAATATCCAGACAATACCAATACCAATACCTAAAAAAGAATTACTCTTCTTGGCAACTGAAATGCGATCCTCTATATGAGGGATTATAGTAGACCACTACCCCAAAAAGTTACTATCCAGGGAGACAGGCCCTGGGTAAGATGTATCACAAATGCAAACACAGATGTGTCATGTTCATACTACTTACTCTAAAGATGTAAAGGTCAGCCTATACTGTAATAGCAAATCAAACTATTAAATGAGAATTATGAAGAAAATAAAACTTATCTCTTTCTTATGTACAGAGTATAAAACTGCTACATGACAGGACTAGAATTGTTTTTCTACCCCCCTAAAAAAAAAAATAAATATGTAACACTTGACTTCCACCCTAATGTTCCAGAAAGAGATGCATATATAATGAAGTTTATCCGTTTTCCTCACTGTATACCTCCTGAGGCAGGAAAATCAAAAAGAAAAATCCCAGTCTGGGCAAATTAGCAACTCAGTCCCCAGCTCAAGATAAAAAAATAAAAGGAAGACGGGATACTGGGGATGTAGCTCAGTGCAAAGGACAATCTCTTAAACAGGGGAGGAGAGGAAATGCATTTTAAGAATTTGTTATAGTCATTTCATATTTAAAGCTCCAATTTGAATACCATGGTCTTTATTTTTTTATTTTATTTTTTGCCAAACTGGGGACTGAACTCAGAACCTTGTGCTTGCCAGGGAAGCGCTTATGCTACTGAGCCATCTCCCCGGCCCCCGATACCATGGTCTTTAGACTATACACTGCCTTCATGTCTTACAAAATGTCCTAAATTAGGCATGCTTCTTAGCAAAGATCACTCATCCAAGCAGAAGAGTAAAATACAAGTAAGTAAAGGCAAAGTAAACCTGATGAAAACAAAATGCATACCCTTGTATTAAATTCTACACTTTGAAGTATTCCTATTAAAAAACTCAGCTGCTGAGTCCAATCCCCAGTTCCAAAAAAAAAAGGTAAGAAACTTAGCTGGATGTGGTGGTACATACCCATAATTCCAGCACTGGGGATACTGTAGAAAGAGGATTACTGTGAGTTCAACACCAGCCTCAACTATAAAGCAAGACTCTGCTTCAAAAAAAAAAAAAAAGCCACTTAAAACACAATATCCCTGACTTTAAAAGAAAAAACTCTGCCCTAACACTTGGTTTAAAATAAACAAAAAAACTTTAAAAAATAAAAAATAAATAAATAAAACACTTAACCTGCTGCCATCTACTGGAAACAAGAGGCACTGTGGGTAAATTTTAAAAAAGAACCATTAAGAGTTACGTACAGAGTGTGTATAAACGGTATGCACACAGGACCTAGGACATCATTCATAAAACACAATTTTATGTAACATTATGCTAAGAAAATATTTATAATTCCAAATATTCCCCCACTTTATTAAATGTGTGTTCATGATTCAAACTGATGTAGTATATCTAAACAAACAATTAAGATGACAACCATCAATACAGTGTTTATCCGTTATATCTCAGTAGACCATGTGCTCTGAGAGGTCAGAGAGTATGTATACTTTGCTTCTGTATTTCTCAGAACTTCAAATCTGTTTTAAGGAGCTGGGCATGGTGGTGCATGCCTGTACACCAGCAGTAACACTGAGACAGGAGGATTCACTAAGAGTTCAAGGCCAGCCTAGGCTACACAGTTCAAGGTCAGCCTGAACTCAAAACAAAAACACCCTGCCAGGTCAAAAACCTTGTTTCAGGGCTAAGGAGATAGCTCGGCAGTCTAAGCACCTGCCTGGCAAGCACAAGGACCAGTACCATACACTGTGCTGGCCCTGGAACCCCAAGCACGCTGTGGTGGTCACACAAGCCGGGTGTGGTGGCACACACCTGGAATCCCAGAGTTGGGGAGGCTGAGATAGGAGGATCACTACAAACCCAAGCAGTGTAGCGAGACACTGTACCAAATAAATAAATAAAATGATTTTTTAAAAAAATCTTGTTTCAAATGGCCGAGATTCATATTCTCATTAAAAAAAATGACCTCATAAGAAACACAGTAGCAGGGGGTGGTGAATGAAGGCAGGAGACAGGAAAAGGAATGTTGTGGGTCTGTTGTGCTTCAAGGTTGTATATGGTTAGATTTTTGGACTTACGTGTAAACATAAGAATTATATAATTTTTTACACCTATTTTTAAAATATATTCTAATTTTTAAATGCTTTTCCTCATATTCTGTAGAGACTTAAAATTCAACATATCAATACTTGATAAAAAATATCTGTTCCATGTTATGCCTAAGATGTTTGATATTCAGACAGATACTGAGGTTAAGCTTAACAGCCTAGGTTGTATGGTAATAACAATAAACTTCTCTTCTGGAGGGTTAACAACTTAAGTGTGCAGACCAAAATTAGAGAAAAAGGAAGGCTGCAAGGAAAGCCAACATTTTGGCACTAGCCGTCCAAGGTCAATTAAGACTCAGGACATAGGAGAACTTGTACTGCAACATCATGTAACTCAGTAGTGTCTGAAATTTTCTGATCAAGGAGATTATGGGGCCGAAGAGGAAAGCAATCAATGATGTAGAGTGTGCCTAAGGAGAGTCACATAAAAAGAAAACATTCTCTCAGGCTTTCACAGAGAGCACACTGGCCAAGCAATGGCTGTGACTCATCCACATGGCTGACACTGACAAAGGATCTACAATTTGAGGTACAGGATCTCAGACCCCAAAGCTACAACTCTTGTTGCATAGAACTTGCTTTATCTTGGTCTTAACTATCCAGCAGAAAAGTATAAAAACAAAATATAAGAAGTAAAGCCATGGTGTTATGTTGAGCTGTAGGGGACTCAGGTCAACAATTTCTGAAATTGCCAGGGAAGCGGAAGACCCAATACTATTATGGACTACTGGACTCTTTTAGAATATTTTGCTGAGTTAATATACCTATAATATTCAAATAACAGAACTAAACAAAAGAAAGGGGATACAGATGAATGTCCATTTTGTATCTGTGTATTCAAAATGGTTAGATAGATATATAGTTACATTCTCTTACTGAATAGAGGAATTTGTTCTAATAGTGTTTGTAAACAGAGTATCATGTCCCCATCTTGTACAGCAATTAACCACTAGGAAGAATGTATGCAATGTGTTAATTATTGAAACTGTCTACCAATTTGGTTTGAAACTGTCTCATTGCTATTTGTTTCTCAATAAAATTATGGGAAAAAGAAAAGAAAACACAAGTTGCAGCAGAGAGATAGCTCAGAGAGTAGCACAAGCACCTGCTTGGCAAGTTCAAGGTCCTAAGTTCGATTCCCAATACTCACCCTCCAAAAAAAAAAAAGAGAATTTAAGAAACACAAGTTGCATGAAACAATCCAGCAATCTAACCCAAACTGAAAAAAAGATAAATGCTTTGAGTCAAGTTATAATCAAGTATACTGATGATTCACACAAATTTCTTTCCACTTAAAATTTGCTATTGAGCTTTCATCAGAAGCCTTGATCACATATCCCTAAGAACCTGTTATCTTCTATGGGTTGGTAAAGAGACTAAAGCTTACTCCCAAGCATAACTTACATCAAAATTATTGAGAGCATATGCCAGTTCTCCTCCTCCTCCACCCTGGTGCTGGGAAGCATCATCTGACGCAGTAGCTTGGGCAGCATTGGAAATACCCGTGACTGCCTGCTGCAGCTGCTTGTATATCAGGTCCCGGTTGGCCTTATAGGCTGCAACATCAGGGTGCTGTAAGCATGCCTGAGATGCAGTATAGAGGATCGGTACATTTTTCTGCAGGATTCCTCTGGCTGCAGCCATCTGATCACGATGACCCACATCCTTCAATTCCTACAAGAGTAAAATAACAACATTGGAGCATTCTTTACATGGGTCCTATTAATATGAAAATTTGCCAGCACAGTCTGAAAAGTTACTATTTCTACTAATCACACACAAGTATTTTCATTAACAACCAATCTTTGTAAGTTAATCACAAAGGAAACAGGGTTAAGACTTTGAACTATGGAACCATATAGACTACTTTTTCCTGGTTTTTGTGATCTTTTAAATACTGCACTCAGTTCTCCTTCTGTAAAAACAGGAGCAGCAACAAGAGCTCTTTTATCATTTTAAGGAGTAAATAGGATAATACATATAAAATACCTAGAATGGCACTAAATAAAAGTCGAAACAAAATCACTTAGCATTTTGATTATAACTACATATAAATATAGCTATTTTAATAATATGTATCTCCAGCCAAAACAGATCATAGAGGTGGGTTTAAACAGAGAATGATTATGAGGAATTACTGAATTGTATGGCTGAGTGTGGGGACACATACTTATAAGCCCATACTTATAATTGAGAAGCTGCAAGTAGGAAGATCTCAAGTTCAAGATCAGTGTGAGTTACACAGTAAGCTCAAGGTTGACATGGACTATACAGCAAGATCCTCCCTCCAAAAAAGGAAAAAGAGGGGCCGGCGAGATAGCTCAGCAGTCTAAAGCGCCTGCTTAGGCAAGCTTGGCAGCCGCAGGGGACAGGCAGCCGCAGGGGACAGGCAGCCGCAGGGGACCGTGGTTGATTCCTCCCTTGGCACCACAAGCTGTGCCAGCCCCACCATCAGAACAGGCTGAGCCAGCCAAAAAAAAAAAAAGGAAAAAACCTAAGTTGTACATATTTCACATCTTGGAACATAGAATCATGCCTTCCTTATGCCAGTAAAATCAATTAACTCACAGATCGATAATCCACAAAGCCGAGGCTCATGTACTCCATGATTTCAATTCATAATTATTATATTCATTATAGATATGGTCTTCTTTTTTGTGTTTGGTTGGTTTTTTTGAGACAGGGTCTCACTACGTAGTTCAGGCTGGCCCTAAACTTAGTATGTAGCCCAAGCTGGTCTCAAATTCATAGTAATCCTCCTGTCTCAGCCACCTGAATGGGCGTGCACCACCATGCCCAGCTATACATGTGGTCTTAAGTGAAATGTTCTTTCCAATTTCCCCTAACCCCTAGTTATAATCCATAAAAAGACTTGAAGTTCCTGGTATAATTTCTATTAATGCCATACACCTATTAGACTGGGCAGGTAGGCCTAATGACAAGTAAGTCATACCAATTAATAACCAAGATAGGATTGGGACACTTCTCATATCATGCTGTTATTGAATGAGAGAAAGAAAATAAGGAGAGAAAAAGAGACAAATCTTTGGTAAATAAAAATCACAAGAGGAAATATGGTTGGTAATTCGGACATTAGATTTATTCCAAATCTATTTTACATATGATTATATAATTCTAATATTAATGTCACCAACTAAAACCTAAGATACAAATTTAAATGTTTTAAAATAGGTACTAGATATATAAACAGTAAGAGAGAAACCAACTAACTTTAAAAGGTCAAAGTTAATTACTCAATTAAAAGACTGGCCTAACAATATAATAATGGCTTATCTTTCTAGATGAATTCTTAATTAAGAATCAGAATCAAACTGGCTTCCTTTTTCTGAAACATCATCTCAGTACATATTTTAGGGTTTACATCTTTATTCAAAACCATGAATAAAACCGCATACCTTTCCTCCTAGAATTCATTTCTAATTTGAAACCTGAATTTGCAAGTAATAGCTCACAGCACTCCAAATGCCCCGTAGCATAGTGCTTAAGCTAAATATTCAGAAACAGTACCCTGTGGATTTAGAGAATGAGTAATCACTTCAAGACTCAAGTTATGACAAGAAGCTATGGCTAACATCACACTTAAACAGCTGGAGGACATATTCTGCAGGGTATTTCCTAAATGTCTTCCCCTCACCACAATCTCAAGGACTCTGGGATATTTGCCTTTAAGCAGTTATACTGTCCTCTATTTTCTAAAACGTTTTGCAACCAGCTTTGGCATTCCTTGTTAGATCAACACAAATTTTACAATGCTTACCTGAGATATCTGTGGTCATGTAAAGTTAATAGGAGCCAGAATTACACATTAGTCAACACCTGACATCTGTTAAGTCATTGCCTGGTCTGGTATGATAATCTTCTACTTTTCCTAAGACTGTATTTGGCTAAATTTTCAAAAACAGGACCATGTGGCTTTAGAGAACTTTAAGACTCAATTAAGGCTATGTGCTGTGGCTAATTATTATGCTTAAATAGCAGGTACATGTGTTCTGAGCAGTATTTTCTAAATGTCTTGCACTCACTACAACATATTTCTTATAGACTATTTGCCAAGAATGGAAGATACATTTTAACCTATATGAAAATAACGAATATAATCATTTATCCTTACTGCTAAAGTGTTCTTTCTTCAGAATTGCTTTTCTTTTAGCACAAAGAGACTAATTTTAAGTGAACATATGAAAATAGATCCTATGGCAGGCACCACTATTTATTGTAATAAGAATACATCAATCAAAAGTATTCAAAGTTTACAGTGCTGGATTACTTACAACAGTGAGCTAATGAGCAGCCTAATACATTATCTTGAAAATTAAGATCCTGGAGTCTGCTTTGGCCTTCATGATTCTTCAGCTTTACCAAACCAGGTATAGTTCAAACAGGCTCAGAAATAGTCAACCATTGAGGAAAGAGGTCTAGTCATAAATTTCAATTGTTTATCCCATGCAGTAACCAGGAAATACGAGCTAAGTTCTTAACAACCTATAACATTATCTCAACCCAAATATAAAATTTAAGTGAATGTTTCCTTTTATTAATATAAAATTATAACCAGATACTTTTTTCTTGATAAATCCTAATTTATGAGTTCACTTACATGTAGAATTACACACATAATCAATGATGTAGAGTGTGCCTAAGGAGAGTTACATGGAGAGAAAACATTCTCTCAAGCTTTCACAGAGAGCACATTGGCC